AACTTAATACTGCAATTTTTACTTTTTAATTCCTTTTGTACTGAATTTTTTCAAAGAATTCGGCATATTTTGCGTACATTTGGGAAAGGAGTCCTGGAAAGTCAGACTCCGTGCAAGGGTTATGTTGGAGAAGGCCCACACTCGGGAATAGAACACATTGTCCTGATGAATGCCGCTCCTGAGTGCCCCAGAGGAAGAAAGCCCGCTGCTGTTTTATGGCTCATTCTTCTGCCTGCTTCCTCATCGCGGTTAATATGAAATACAACAATGATACTCTAAAATAAGAACTCTGGTATTTCCCTTCTACATCACGTAGAACTTATTTCTGCATGATTTGTCCGTGCGGTGTAGTTCACAAACTCCGCCAGCAGATGGCAGTAACAACCAACGACAAAATCCTAATGCTCTGTCAACACAGCGTCCTGTGCATACTTCCTAGATCTAATCTGACGCTTATGAAAATGATTTCCTTATTTCAAAAACCCCAGGCCCAAACAGAAACTAACTTCATCCTGCAGATAAAGAATGTTTGTGCCTTACCACTCGTCAAGATCTCCCAGCTGTCGCCAGGACTTCAGTAAATATTCTCCCTGCAGTGAAGGGCAGCTGAGCATAGCTCCCTGCTATCAGGGCACCTAGGTCCTAGCCAAGCTACTAGATGACCCCTCTGGGAGGGCTGCGCTGGGGAAGGATTCTGCAGGAAATAACAAGTCAGGGCTGCATGACTCAGACTGGCCTCCAACTTGTGATTCTCCTGCCTCAGCCTCCCACAGTGCTGGGACTATACCTGCGCACAGGCACATCCGGGTTATGATAATGTGTCCTGCTGCGGGGACAGTGATGTTCCCAAGACCTGAGTCACCCAAACCAAACGCTTCTCCCCAGCAGCACCTGGCCGTCTTTTCTCAAGCAAACGCTTGTCTAGCCTTGAATCTCGGCCTGAGGCCATTTTTCTAGAATTTCTGGGACTGTATCTTGCAGTAGCTCCGAGGAAGTCTCTCAACGTGCTCTCAGTCTCCTTCCTGCAGTGCAGGGGAGCAGCCCGAAGTCCCCGACCCCAGGGAGAGAAACGCGGCAGACAGCGCCGGCGCTGTGGCGTCCAGTGGACGCAGCTCCGGGATTTGCGGAAGCACCGGTGCAAGCTCTGGAATCTCCATTTCCTCCTGTGTAAGGCAGCGACAGCAGGCCTCGTCGCGGGGCACTGTGACAGTGAAACGAGGTGGTATCTGAGCCGCTGACTTTCGGAGCAGCAGAGCGCACAGGCAGAAGGCGGTGCAAACTCAGCTGAAGGTGCTAAGGGCCGGGGGCTCGTGTCAGGAAGCGCACACACGCATGCACACGCACGCACATACGCCAGGAGGCACGGAGCGCACCTCCTCCTTCCTGGAATCCCTCCTCCCACCCGGCGCCCCCACCCGCTCTGCGCTGACTTCCAGCTTCAGCCAGCACGGCCTGGAGGCCGCTGTCCCTCCGCCCAAAGGCCTCGCAGGGGCTCCTGGCTCTCAGCGGCCCCGCGCTCTGCTCCTGGGCCATCCCCTGCCTCTGCCACCCAGACCAGGGCTCCCTGGGCCAGGCCTCGGCTCGCACAGTAAACCTGGGAAAGCCACCTGCGGGATCTGATCAGCACTGCTGGGAACTCGTGGCTTCCAGGAGGAGACCAGAGGCGGAGCCCACGTCCGACCTGCAGTGAGGGCAGGCGCCTGCAGAGGGAGGGAGGGAGGCAGGAACTGGCGGAGTCACACAAGGAAAGGCCACTCCGGATAAATCCCGTTTCACACCTGTGGGCCCTGAGAATGCGCTCGCACGGCCCCAGGTGTCTGCGCAAGTGGACCAGGTGTGCCACCCGCCCGTCCTGGCCAGCCCTGCCGCGCGGTGACCTTGTTCTGCCCTGTGGTCTCGTGGGAACTTGTGCTATTTTCAAAAACCAAGTCAGGTTTGTCGACATCCACCCAGACCTGTTCCGAATGACCTCGCAGGCTGCAGGGCGGGCACAGAAGGGCCCGGCCATCTGCTCGGAAGCTGCCAGAGTTCCAAAGCGTCTTGCAGCAGGACAGAGTCAGCTGCCGCCCAAACCAGCTTCCTTTACCCCGCTGTGCGGCCCCGCCTGGCCTTGCACCTGCTCTGACCTGATGTGGAACGGGTTTTCCCATTAGGAGGATGAGACTAGGGCCCACACTAGTCCCTGTGCAAGACGACAGGGCCCGCGACAAGTAGGGAAAATGAGCCTCGTTCAGAGGGGCTTGGGAATTGATGAGGAGGACCAGGACCAGGGACGAGAGGAGACAGAAGATACTCAGACGCCAATCTGATGATGGCTGGGGAAGCCGCTTCAGGAGTTTCGACCTTATGCTGAGGCTCATGGGATACCATTTACAGGGGTTTTTTAAGTACAGCAAGCCCTTTAAAGGTTTTTAAGGCTAGCCGGACGTGGTAGCACCCACCTATCATCCCAGCACTCCAGAGACTGGGGCAAGAGGGTCACTGGGAGATGAGGCCCAGCAAGCACAACACGCTGAATTCAAGGCCAGCCTGGAATACATAGACCCCTCTGAAAAAAGAAACCAAAAATAAGTAAAAAATAAAAATAACGTAGAGGAGCCACCTGACCCAAAAGACTGATGCCTTTCTCCCCTCAACGCATCCGACAGCCAACAGCAGTAGCAAACAGCAAGGCCCACGTCGTGGAGCGCTGCAAGGGCTGCGGGACGCAGAGGAGAGCAGAAGTAGAAGGAAGCCGAGGCTCCCCAAGGGCGAGCATGGAGAGGGACCGGAAGCTCCTGGCTTCTGCTTAGGGAATTAGGGCACACAGAGAGCGGGGGAGGGGTTGTTCGTTCAACAGGCAGCAGATGCCAGATCAGGGAGCTCTTGGGGAGACTTGTTTTAACACAGTTGCTCCTAAATTAGGAGCCTTTGCATTCAGCTTTCTTGAAATACAATTTCCAGGCCGGGGATATAGCTCAGCGGCACAAGTCCCTGCTTAACAAGTACAAGGTCCTGAGTTTGATTTCCAGTAGGAAAAAAAAAAAAAAGAAAAGAAAAGAAAAAAGAAATGCAATTCCCTGCACATGCAGACACTGTTCCCCACCCATACCCCACAGCCACATGGGGATCTCTTTTATGTGGGGCATTTGTTATCTGAGAAAGTGACAAAATCCAAAGTCTGCGGCCCCTTGGGTCAGAAGATACTGATTTTCTCTCTGTGCCCATAAACAAGCTGCCAGAGGCAGAAAGCCTGTGGGAAGGAATTCAAGGCTGAAAGATTTTTATGGTATAATAGTGTTCTTCTAAAACCAAAGATAGTATAAATAAATACACCTGCAGCATGGATGATAAAGTTAAAAGTGTACTGTATATGTAAATACTGTATATTCATTGTTAAGGCCATGGGACAAACCCAGAGAACTAAAGGAAGCACAAGTTCCTAATCATACGTCCATCCACATGGGAGCAAACAGGCAAGGTTTTTGCACTAAAATGTGTTTATTATGCCATACCAGCCGGTCACGGCGGTTCACCTCTGTAATCCCAGATTCTCAGGCTGAGGCAGGAGGGTTGCAAATTTAAACTCACCCTGGGCAATTTGCCAAAGTCCTGTCTCAAAATTTTAAAATAATAATAAAGAGGGCAAGGAAATTGCTTAATACACCCCCTGGATTCTATCCCTAAAACCACAGGGGGGGAAAAAAAGCACCAAACCAGCTAGGCACTTTCTCTTCGTTAGACTGCATAGTTTATAAAGCAAGCATTGGAATTTTACTCATTTTTTATTTACTTATTTACTGAGTTTTGCTCTAGACCAATGGCAAAGATTAGCAAAAAATCTCAACAAAAAAATATATCCAAGGGGCTGGGGATTTAGCTCAGCGGCAAAAGCACCTGCCTGGCAAG